ACTGAGCTACAGCTCAGCCCTTTTAATTTTGAGACAGGGTCTTGCTAAACTGCTAATTTGTTCAAACTGTGTTCAAACTTTCAATCCTCTTGCCTCAGCCCCCCAGAATGCTAGGATTACAGGTGTGTGCTACCTTGCCTGGCTTGTTTTTGTTTGTTTAGGAATGACCATACTGTTTTCCGTAATGGTTTTACTAATTAACATTCTCATCAGCCATGAATAAAAGTTTCTTTTTCTCCATCTCCTCATCAATACTTAATCTTTTGTATTTTTGATAATAGTTATTTTAACAGGTAGAAGGTAATTTCTCATTGTGGTTTTAATTTGTATCTCCCTGATAATTAGTAATATTGAATATTTTTTTAAATGTCGTTGGCCATTTATGTGTCTTTTAAGAAACATCTGGAAGTCTTTTGCCCATTTTTAAATTGGGATAGTTTTCTTGCTCTTGTATTGTTTGGGCTCCTTATGTATTTTGGGTCCTAGCTTCTCATCAGATTTATTGTTTGCAAATATTTTCTATTTTATTGGTTGTTTTTTTACTCTGCTGATCATTATCCCTTTTATAAAAATATCCCAGAATGAGCTGGGTGTGGTGGTGCATGTCTATAATCCTAGCCCTCTGGAAGGCTGAGACAGGAGGATCACAAGTTCAACCTTAGCCTGTGAAATTTAGTGATTTAGGGAGACTGTGTCTCAAATTAAAAAATTAAAAAATGGTTGCAAATGTAGCTCAGAATGAAGGCCTTGAGTTCAGTCCCCAGCAATACACACACACACAAACACACACACACTTCCAAAATAGATAATCAAGCCCTATTGAGTCCTTAACCTTAGCTTCAACTTCTGCTTCCTTCTTTTCAGCCTCCTTCACATCATCAATCTTAATTTTTACTTTATCTTCAACTTTATTCTCAATATCAACCTTGTTCTTAGCATGTGATCAGATAGAATCAGTCTCAATAAATACTGCTTGATGATACTGAATTTTATCCTGAGTAACACAATCTATTCTTTGACTTGCTAGCATAATTTCTGACAAGTTGTCTTCTCATGCCAATTTGTATGTAATTGTTTTTAAACATTTCCGGTGAATAAACTTGTGTGTTGTTTTCTCCATTAATTTACAGGCTCTCTCAGAATAGGAATCATGGCTAAACTTTATTCTCTAGGCTAAGAAGCTAGCACAATTATTTTTGTATTGTGGTAAGTCAATCTAAGTTTGTTCCTGGTAATGACATGATTACACTTGCTCTGAATAGCCAGGATTTTTTTTTTTTTTTTGGTACCGGGGATGGACCCAGGATTTCTTTATGACCATTTTCACTTCCTTTTTGTGTTATCACCTTTTCTTATTTTCACAATTTGTTACTTTCTGTTACCATTTTATTTTACTCAGTCTATTTATTTATTCATTCAACAAACATTTATCATTCCAGGTAACAGAAATACAAAAAGAACAAGACATAATTTCAAATTTAAGTCTAGTTACATCAACTAAGTTTTTCTCACTTTGAGTGCATTTTATTTATTGTGCTTTCTAGTCATTTTGCAAGTAGTAATTTGACTTAAAAGAATAGCCATCCATAACTTTGTGAAAAATTATTGATTATGCTTGCAATAACTAGGAGAGATAGCAACTTCTAAGGTCTTATGAGATTTGTTTCAAATAATGCTTAAACTACAAGACAGCAAAATTTGCTTATATTTGACTTGCTTTGCATTTCTCTAGAATTCAACCAGATTCTTCTATTTCCTTTTCATGAGGAGGAAGCTTAGGTTAAATAAAAGGACCTCCCCCCAAAAGTAGTAAAGGTGCCAAAGAAAGATTAGGAACCACTATAAAGAAAGAAAAAAGGAGAACCTTGACTTACTACCTTGGAATACTCCAGCTATGGATAGTTGCAAGATGCTCATGATTGGGAGATATGATAGACTAGAGCTGCGGAGTTCTAACCAGATTGAATCTTGGGAGGAACTGTTTGGAAATGCATGCCACCCTTTCTTCTCAGTGTGCTTCTTTAGAACTGGGGTAGATCAGTGAAAAAAAAAAAGATGTTCTCTTCCTAGAACTTTCTTATAAAGAAGATTTTTGTTGCATCTTGTAGAAGAGACGCAACTGGATATAATTTCATTTTGTTTCTGAAAGCATAAAGAATAAAGTTTAAAGTACTCCCTCCCTACATAATATTGAATCTATCAATATAACTGGTACTATTGTTCTTTCAACTTCCATCATCTAACAGAGCTCCCTATAGTGGTTTTACAGTATAGACCAGAGTAATAAATATTTTAGAGGAATGAGGTTATTGGATATATTCTGTGGTACAGAGCAGATGGGAAGTTGGTATGCATCCTTTACCCAATATCTACCCTCTCCTAATCTTTTTTTTCCTAGTTCCTTCATAACTGGGGGCTCCCTTATCTCCCTAAACTTATTTTCCATGTGGTTCCTCAATTAAAACCCCTCTCACAGTTTAGGTCAAATTTCCTTACTTTCATCCCTCCCCCACAGGATACAATCTCTCCCTCAGTTCCCCTTGGGAGGAATGCCTTTTTTGCTTTTCCCAATCCTTTCCTTCCTCCAAGGTCTACTTTAGACCAACGTCCTCCATCAAGCCTTCCCTGACAGCTCCTGCCCAATTCCCTCTTCCTTCTCTGGCCTCCTAGTACACAATGGTGTGTGATAATAATAGCTTTCATTAGCCTAGTGGTTGACAAAGCACGACGCTCACTTTTGACTTTCTAAAGCTACTGAGGTAGGTAAGAAGAATATTCTTGTCCCACCAGAGAGAATTAAAAAATAATTCAAGGTCATTTTGCAAGCAAATGGCAAGACTGGGATGCTAATCCAGGCCCTTGAAGTCCCAAAGCTTTCCCAACTAGTCTTTTGTCTCTGGCACACCTTTATACAGTGCCTAGTTCAGTGCTGGGAAAAACTGGATGCTCCAATAAATATTTGTGGATTGTTCTATTGACTTTGATCTACATCTTTCTTCTTCTATGCCACCTGCTCCCAATTCAAAGTGGCTGTTTCTGCTTACCATGAACCATGAGCATGTATAAGTGAGAATCTGCAAATCACTGCCTCATTTGTGATGGAAGCTGCAGCTGGAGGGTGGAACAGAGGTCGCTCCTTAAGGGATGCTGCTCTGAGGGACATGGTTTCCCAGAAAGGATAAAGAGAAGGATGAGAACATGATTTCACTTGTTTCTTACAAGTTGTTTTTTTTCTTTTAGGAACCAAAGAAAAAGGATATTTAAAAAAGTACTAATAGAGAAAATCTCTTTCCTTTGGCTGAGTGACATTTCATGTCTGTTCATATCATTATGTCAATCTTTGAAAAATGAACTAAGGCAGTGTCTTTTTTCATTAGACAAAGTAAGAACTGGGAGTTTCCCCAGTAGGAGACCCGAATGTGATGAGTGAAGCATTAAGATTGAAGCTGAGTCACTGGCATTGCGAGGGGGTGGGTCAGAGCTTTCTCTTGAGCTTTCAAAGCCCACACATGCACTTAGGGCCATAGATACACACACCTGTTGGCTGCAGCCTGTGCTGGTTTTGTCAGCATTTGGGACACGGCTCGGAGAAAGTCTCCAGCTGCCATTAGTTTTTTCAAATTGGATCTTTTGCAGATTAGCTGGGCAATGTTTTATTCTTTAATAACTTAACTTTTAGAATTCATAAGAAGTTGCAAAATTGTAGAGAGAGAATTCTCCCAGATTCTGATAATATCTTATCTAACCATAGTTGTTTGCTTTTAGTGTAGTATTTAAGAATATATTCTTATTGTCTCATATGGTTCCAGGTGTTAATGCATTCACTCGGGTCATTTTCGTATGGGGTCAATCAGTTGCCATCAGATGCAGCTGAGATTAGAGTCATCAGAAGGTATCTACACTCATGTGCATGGTTGGTCAGGCATCTCTTTTTCCATGCAGCTTCTCCAAGCAGGCAGCTTGTGCTTCTCAAAGGCAGTTCAGTCTCAGTGTGATCAGATGTCTTATCTGGTAGCTGGCTTACTCAAGAGTGATTGCTCCAAAAGGCCTGGGTAGAAGCTACAGGCTTCTTATGATCTAATCTTGAAAGCCCTAGAACATCACTTCCACCACATTTGGTTAGTCAAGTAAGCCACTGAGGCCAGCCAGGTTTGAGAAAAGAGAAATTAGACTCCCTATCAAAACAAGACAAGTAGCAAAAAATTGATAGCTATCTGCAATCCATTACAATTGCCCTGCAGTTAGTCACCAAGTGAGTACGCAAATATGCTAAGGAAGACATGATCAAAGCTATAGTTAAGGACATCAGTAGGATAAGTTCTTATGTTTGACCCTATGAAGATGTTTAAGTCACAGTGTTATAATATCAGTAGGTAGTATGTGTTCAATACATGTTGTTTGACACAGCAATTGAATCACCCTTTCCACCTATAAGTTCTAAGTGGAACTAAGCCCCAAAGTAGTGAATATCTCTGTAGACTTTAGGGTAAACCCTGGAATTGTCCTTGAACTGCTACAGCTTCCAAATAAGCTGGAATCCAGCATATATTTTCTGCTATATTCATGTCTGTTACAAAGGAATCTCCCAGGATGGATAAGGCATAGTGCTTTATGGTATACAAAGATGACTTAAGTATGGCTCCTGCTCTCCAGAACTCTGATGACAATTCTTTCACACCTTTCTGCTGGGTTATTATTTTCCAGGCTGTGTATTAAGTGAGACTGGAAACAGAGAGAGAACTTAGGTGGTGAGATGTGAAGATTGGATGGGAAGAATGTGGCCTAATTGGCCTTTTCAGTGAGCACTGAGAAGAAAGGGCATGCAAGCGTGCCAGCATGCTGCAGGGAAAAGTAAAAACACCTGAGGCTAAGTTGTATACCCAGAGAAGTACCGTGGAGGGTGGGAGACAGATGAATCCTATGGAACTCTAATTGCTCGTGCTTGTGTCTGAGTGAATAAGGCCAAGGTGTGCCAGTCATTTGGGGCTCTATGTCAAAGGGAGACATGATCCCCTAGATTTTAACTTGTTTCTGTGTCTCTTTGTTTTTCATCTTCATTACCCCTTGGTCAGGTTTGAGCTCAGCTCATAGGCTGGTTCCTACAGTGAAGAAAAATGGTTAAGAGAAACAACTAAGAAATTGCTGTGATTATTTTGGTTAAGAGTTTTGTGTGGTTAATCCAAGAAAATCAACAGCTTGTTCATGAATACAGTAGCAGCCTCTCTGTGGCCCTTTTACAGGGAAATATCCTTTCTGGTTCTCCTTTAGGTGAACAGCAGGTGTTGGGTTGGTTCTGACTTTTTTCCTAGAAAGTTCTACCCTCTTCCATGTCCAGATGTCAAACTATTTGGGGAACAATTCTCTGAAGCATTCGTTGGTTGAGTGGGAAGAAATCTTCATTGAAGGATGGAGGACATGCAACCTATGGTGGGTGGAGTTGGGTAAGTCTTTTTAAGCAGAAGCACAATGAGCTTGAAGGGGACCTGGAGAAGCCAGGAGAAAGCGAAAAATGAACCATGTGTGAAATAAGAGGACTCAATCTGACTAACTAACTGGTTTGTGTATTGAACATGCTTCCTGTGATCTCTTCTTCAGATTAAAGACGATTCTAATTGCAGTCCTGAGGTTTGTGGGGAGGTTTCCTCAGCTGAGAGGAAATTATATAGACATCATAAAATGGGCATTTCTGACAATAGCAGAGAATCAAATGAAAGAGCTCCACCTGGAGGCCCTTTCTGGTGGTGGTAGGGGAAATTGGAACCCAAGTTTGTCTGAGTAGAGGTCTTTGGGACATCAGAAGAAGGAGAACCTATTAATTTTTGTCGTAATTTCTCTAGCATTGCTTTGTAGTTTCCAGTGTACAATTTTTGCATTTTTTTCAGATTTATATGGAAGCATTTTATTTATTTGATAGTCTTATAAATGGCATTTTATTTAATTTCAATTTATAATTGTTCATTGCTATTATATAGAAATACCATTATTTTTTGCATATCGATCTTGTATCATGCAATTTGCTGAAATCTTATTAGTTTCACGATTTTTTTTGGAGATTCTGTATGATTTTCTTCATAGAGAATGTTGTCATCTGTGAATAAAGATAGTTTTACCTCTTCCTTTCCAATTTGGATTTTAAAAAATTAGGCTAGGTCCTTAGTTCATTGTTGAATAGGAGTGATAAGAATGCATATTCTGGTCACATTCTTGATTGCAGGGAGAAAGCATTAATTTTTTCATCAGTAGTATCTATTTTAGCTGTAGATCTTTCAGAGATTTTTTTAAAAAATCAGGTTGGGGACATTCTCAACTATTCCTAGTTCATTGAATTCCAAAAAGTGGAATGACTTCTGTATATTTGTTGGGATGTTTATATTGTTTTTAGTTTTTCTTTTATAAATACGGAAACTTACATTGATTTTTGAGTGTTAGACCAAACTTGCATTCCTAGATTGCATCCTACTGGGCATAATATTTAATGTTGTATTAATTTTGATAAAGTTTTGTTTAGAATTTTTGTTCCCACATTCATAAGGGATAGTAGTCTGTAAATGTCTGTTATCTTTTTTTTTTTTAACCTGGTGCTGGGATTTGAACCCATTACTAAGCAAGTACTCTACCACTGAGCTATATCCTCAGCTCCTATAGTTTACCCATAATGTCTTTATCTAAGGGTAGTGCTGGCCTCATACAATGAGCTGGGAATTAGTCTTAATTTTCTCATTTTCTGGAAGAGTTAGTATAGAATTGATATTTTTTTCATAAAATGTTTGGTAGAATTCACCAGTGAGGCCATCATAGCTGGAGTTTTCATTGTGGAAAGGTATTAAGTACAAATTCAATTTCTCTAGTAGATAAAGGGCTATTTAGGTCTTCGATTTCTTCTTAGGTTTGGTACTTTATGTCTGGGGGATTTTCTCATTTCATGTAAGTTGTTAAATTACTTTTCATAATATTCCCTCATTCTTTTAACATATGTAAAATCTATAATTTTTTCACATGTTTCATTATTATTATTATTATTATTATTATTATTATTATTATTATTTGGTACCAGGCATTGAACTCGGGTCCCTGTGCTTGCACAGCTTCATTATTTATATTAGTGATTTTTGGGGGGGTGTGTGGGTACCGGGGATCGAACTTGGGTCCTTGCACTTGCGCAGCAGGCAGTGAAACCATTGAGCTAAATCCCCAGTCTGTATTAGTGATTTTTGTCTTTCCTTTTTCCTGAACAGTTTAGGTAGAGCTTTATTCTAGTTCTATTGATCTTTTCAAAGAACCAGCATTTGGTTTGATTTGTCTTCCTTTCTGTTTTTTATTTGTCTACTTCTGCTCTGTTATTATCTCATAACTTCCATTTACTTTAGATTTAACTTGCTTTGCTTTTTGTAGTTTCTTGAGGTGGAAGCTGAAATCCACCAATAATTACCTCATTGACTTGTGACTTTTCTAATATAGACATTTAGTCCTCTAAGTTTCCCAAGTACTGCTTTAGCATTTTCCCACAAATTTTGATGTGTGTTTTCATTCTCTCTCAGCTAAGAATATTACTTAATCTCCTTTTTGACTTAATTGATTCATGAATTATTTAGAATTTATCATTTAATTTCCAAAAGCGTGGGGATTTTCCAGATTATTTTGCTTTTGTTTTTATTTCAATGTTAATTCTACTGTTGTCAGAGAATACACTTGGTATGACTTGAATTCTTTTAAATTTATTTAAACTGGTGTGTGGGTGAACAAACTTGGTAAATAGTTCATGTGCACATGACAAGAACGTGGATTCTGCTGTTGTGTGGAGTGTTGCATAAACATCAATTAGGTGAAGTTGGTTGATAGTGTTGTTTAACTCTTTTATATCCTGATTTTCTCACTGCTTAATTCTATGAAATGTTGGGAGAGGGGTATTTAAATGTCAAGTACTTTTTGTCCAGTTTGTCCATTTTTTAAAAAATTCTATTTGTGGGCTGGGGATTTAGCTCAGTGGTTCTGCCTCCTGCCTCACAAGCACAAGGACCCGAGTTCGATCCCCAGTACCAAAAAAAAAAAAATTCTATTTGTTTTACTCCATTTTGAAGCTCTGATACTAGGTGCATAAAAGTGTAGAATTGTTATGTTCTTTTAGTGACTTGCCTCCTTTATCCCTGTTCATAATTTTTGTTCTGAAATCTATCTATTCTTTGCTAAATGGAAGATGGCATATCATTTCCTATACTTTTAATCTATTTCTGAGATCTAAATTTTTTTTTTTGGACCAGGGATTGAACTCAGGACCTTGTGCTTGTGAGGCAGGGGGTGGCACCACTGAGCTAAATCCCCGGCCCTAATCTATTTCTTTATGTATTTATTATAAGCAGCATATACTTAGGTCTTGCCTTTTTTTTTTTCTAAAATCCAATTTGACAATCTCTGATTTTAATTGAGGTGTTTAGACCATTTATTCTTAATGGTGTTATTTATATGGCTAGGTTTAAATTTATTATCTTGCTATTTGTTACCTATTTGCTCCATCTGTTCTTTATACCCCTTTCTCTTTTTCTGTTTTCTTTTTTTATATATATGATTCCATTTTCTTTCTATTATTGGCTCATTACCTATAACTTTATTTATTTATTTATTTATTTATTTATTTATTTATTTATTTATTTTGGTACCAGGGATCGAACTCAGGTCCTTGCGCTTCCACAGCAGGCGGTGAAACCACTGAGCTAAATCCCCAGCCCTCATTACCTATAACTTTTAATGGTTATTTTAGGGTTAATAATATACATCTCTAATATATCACAGACTACTTTCAAGTTAGGCTCTACCACTTCATGTACAGCATAAAAAATTTGTAATAGTATACCTTTATTTTTCCCCTCCTGACCTTTGTGCTATTGTTGCCATACATTTTACTTGCACACGTTATAAACCCCATACTTCATTGTTATTGGTTTTGTTTGATCGGTTAGCTTTCAAAGAGATTTTAAGATAATAATACATATGTTCACCCATATAGTTACCATTTCCAACATTTTTATTCCATTCTGTAGACCTATGTTTGTATTTATTGTCATTTTTCTTGTACCTAAAGGACTTTGTAAAATAATTTTATTAATGTGGATGGATCTGCAGATGATGAATTCTTTCAGTCATTGCTTTAGAAAGACATTTTCACAGGGTACAGAATTTTTTTTTTTTGGACAGCGTCTCATTGTGTAGTTCAGGCTGGCCTTGAACTCACTATGTAGTCCAGGATGGCCTCAAACTTGAAGCAATCCTCCTGCCTCAGTCTCCCGAGTGCTGAGATTACACACATGCACCACCATACCTGGCTCCAGAATTCTTGGATGATAACCCCCCGCAATACTTTAATGATGTTGGTCCATTTTTTTTTGCATTATTTCCAAAAATAAATCTACTGTCTATCTTTGCTCCTCTGCATACAATGTGTCTTCCTTCTTTTCTTCTTTTCTTTTTTGGCTACTTCTAATATTTTCTCTTTATCCCTGCTTTGATAAATTTGTTTATGATGAGATTTCTTTGGGGTTTATTGAGATTCTTGGATTTATGGGTTTTCATAATGTTTGGATTTTGGGGGGCACTATTTATTAAATATTGTTTTTGGACTTTCCTATGAGGACTCCAATTACATGTGTATTAGGCTTCTTGATGATGTTCTTGATATCACTGGTGCTCTTCTGTGTGTGTGTTTGTGTGTGTGTGTGTGGTACTGGAGATTTTACCCGTAGCCTTCACACTGAACTACATCGCCAGCCCTTTTTATTTTGAGAGAGGGTCTCACTAAGTTGCACAGATGGGAATGGAATTTGTGATCCTCCTGCTCAGCCTCCCAGAGTATTGGGATTACAGGCATGCACCACCATGTTTTTAAGTTACTATATTTCTTCCTGTTTCATTTTGTATAGTTCTATTGGAATATTTTCAGCCACTAACCTTCCTGTGTCTAATTTGCTATTAGTTTCACCCAGTGTATTTTTCATCTCACACATTGTGAGATTTGGATCTTTTAAATATACTTTCCCCTTGGGCTGGGGATTTAGCTCAGTGGTTCAGCCGTCTGCCTTGCAAGCACAAGGACACAAGTTTGATCCCCGGTACAAAAAAAAAATACACACACACACACACACACACATACACTTTCCCCTTACAATTCAACAACAAAACCACCAAATAATTTAATTTAAAAGTGGGAATAGGAGGAGATGGGGAGGTACACCAGTGGTAGAGTGCACGCTTAGTATTCACAAGGCCCTGGGTCCAATCCCAAGGACCAAAAGATGAAAAAAAAAAAGCGAGCAAAAGAGTTGAATGGACTTATCTCCAAAGATGATATACAGATGGCCAAAAAGCATATGAAAAGATGATAACATTACTAATAATTAGGAAAATACAAATCAAAATCACAAGTCTCATAGCATACCCATTGGGATGGATGCTATAAAACACAAATTAGCAATAACAATTATTATTAGCAAGGCTCTGGAGAAATTAAAACTTTTCTGTACTGATTGTGGAAATGTAACATGGTCAGCCACTATGGAAAATAACATGGTGGTTCTTCAAAAAAATTAAAAATAGAATTACCATATATAGAGAAATTTCACTTCACAGTATAGATCTAAAAAGAATTACACTTATATTTCAGTACTTGACTGCTTTGAGAATCATCAAATTTGGTACTTGACACATTTTTAGAAGAAAATTTTGTCCTCATGCTTGCTGATTTTTTGGTTCTTGATGTTCAAGCTAGAACTTGTCTGTATCAATTGCCTCATAACTCACTGCCCTATCCAGCCAAAACAATGAGCTTAGTACTTGTCATTTTTGATATTTGGTGTCGCTCCTGGAACCAATTAGTAAAGAGTATTGAGGTACCAGTGTAAAAGAATGTCTCAAAGTTATTTGTATACCCTTATTCATAGTGGCACTATTCACAGTAGTCCACTGGCAGAATGTGGTATGTACACGCAATGGAATATTATTCAGCCTTAAAATGAAAGGTTAGTTTGACACATGCTGCAACATACATGAACCTTGAGGATATTATGCTCAATGAAATAAGCCAGTCATAAAAAGACAAATATTACATGGCTCCACTTTTATGAAATATACAGAAATTAAATTCCTAGAAATAGAAAGTAGAATGGTAGTTTCCAGGGATTGGGAAGAAGAGGGAATGGAAAGGTGTATAATGCAAGTTATGCAAGATGGAAAAGTTCTGGAGATTGGTTGCAAAACAATGTGAGTAAAGTATATTTAACTCTACTGAATTGTGTACTTAGAAATGGTTAAGATGGCAAGTATTATGTATTTTTAGCACAATAAAAATCCATAACAAAACACAAAATAGATCATAAAGCAAAAATATAATAAACAAGAAGTCTATTAACACAATGCCAAAATATTTGGGGAAAGAAACATTGTCCCTCCAGAAAGTTCATTTTTCAAACATGTTCTTTCTAACCATGTAATTAGAAATAAAACAAATAGTATTTAAATGTGCATATAGATCTTTTATGTCTTTACTTAAATTTTAGAACATATGTAATAGTTATAGTAACTATTTTAAATCTTTCTTTGCCAAATCTAATATCTGTAACTGTTCTATCAGTTTATCTCCTAGCTATAGATTGTATTCTACTTTACTGCTTGTGTGTATGTGTGTGTGTGTGTGTGTGTGTGTGTGTGTGTGTGTGGTACTCAGGAATGAGTCCAGGACCTTCTCACTAAACTACATCTCCATTCACTTTGAGACAGAGTCTTGCTAAATCACTAAGTTGCCCAGGCTGGGCTCAAACTTTTGTTCCTTGTTTCTCAGTCTCTCAGATTGCTGGGATTACAGGCATGTGCTACCATGCTCAGTCTTTTGTGATTTTTTCATGCCTGATAATTGGATTCTAAGCATTTGAATTTTATTTTATTGGGTGATGGGTGCTGGATATTACTGTATTCCTAAAAATATTCTGAAGGTTTGTTCTAAGTGATTTGGTTAAATCATTTGGAAATAGTTTGAACACTTTGGTTCTTGTTTTTCAGATTTTTTAGGCAGGAGTAGAGCAATATTCAGTCAAGGAATAATTACTGCTCATTATTAGGCCATACCTTTCTGCGTACTCTACCCTTCATGAATCTTGAGTTTTCCAACTCTGGCTTGTGGGAACAGACACTATTCTGTGTGAGTGTCTATTGTCTCTAATAATTTTGGACAGTTCTTTCTCTTGGCTCTGATAGTTTCCTTAATGCATGTGCTGATCAGTCCTCAGATGAATTCTTGAGTGAATCCTCTTTCAAAACCCCCAGAACCTCCTCTTTCTGTGCTGTTCTCTTCTTTCTTGTACTCTGCACTAAGAACTCAAGCAGCCTTGGTCTTTTCCAGATTCTCACCTTACAGAGTTTGTCTGAGTTATTCTCTTTGTGCTGTGGCCTGGAAATTCTCTGGGGAAACTGTAGTAATACTTCATTTGTTTCATATCTCTAAAGTATCACTGTTCTTCTGTTATCCAGTGTCCTTCAAACTGTTGTTTAATATATTTTGTCAATTTTTTTTTGGTTGTTTCAGGTGGGAGAGTAAACAATCCACTATTCTATCTTGGCCCAAAGTAGATATCTGCATTTAAACTTAAAAACATGTTTCTATCCTAAAAGTTATTTGTGTATTTTATAGAATTAAAATAATTGATTTACATATTTATCAAATAAAATCATATTTTTATTCACCTGAAAACTGTTTCTGGCCAAGTGCATTACTCTTTGCTTTAGTAACAACCTCAGTGCCCACTCTAAGATGTTAGAACAAGCCAAATGTGAATATAAACCAAACTGCATTAAATCACTTTGTGTATACTTCACAATGACTGCTAAAACACAGCCATAGTTCTAGGTATAGCCACTTGAACCAGAGCAGCAGCAGCGTTAAATCTTTGCCTCACTCAAGTATGGCCATTCTATGGTTTGCTTTACAGATGACACGTCAAAGACATTATGAGGAAGAAGATGAAACTCAAAGGTAAGATTTATAAACATGTGCTCCCTGCTCTTAGGCTAAGTGTCCCCAAAGACTTCAACCTAAAGTGGATCTCTCTAAGTCAAAATCCTGATCATGCACATGCTGATGCCTTCTGCTTGGATACCAGTGGGACCCATTAAGTAACTACGTAAATCTGACTACAGTGAGTACACATTTATTTGATAGTGTTGAGCAGAGGGAGGTGCAAAATGTGAAGCAGTAACAAATGGAAACTTCCTGCAGACATAGAGCAACAACAAGGATATTTCAGGTGTGCACTGAGCTAATAAAGCGTAAGTGTCCTATCCAGATTGTAGAGCCTGGATTCAAATCCTATCTGTGACAATTATAGCTGGGAAACCTTGGGAAAGTTGCTTGATTTCCCTGTCTTAGTTTCCCACAGTACTACCTCATGGAGTTGTTGCAATAACTAAATAAAATGATGTGGGCAAAGTACTTAGAACAGTGCCTGGACATAGTAAGCTCAATATAAATGTTAGCTATTAGAATCATCATCATCATGCTTGTTGTCATGGAGACTTGCATATGCAAGGGCAGGAAGAAATGTAGAATATGTAGAACATCATAGCGCAGGCCTTCTAAGAAAGTAGAATATGAGCTGGGCTTTGAATCATAGAGATAATTTCAAATGATAGAAATGAGCAGTGATTCTGGGTGTAGGAAATAGAATGAGCTGAGTCCAGAGGAAAAATTTTTGAGATATGCTTTGTGTAAAAATAGGCAGTCTAGCTGGAGTATATGATGTTGCTGGCAGTAGAAAGTGCTAAGGCTAGAGGGGAAAAATTACAGGATTTAGCAATATTTAGACATAGCAAATTAGAAAAAAGGCATTAGGTATAACCCAAATATAAGCTGGACATCTACACTGCTCAGTCTCAAAGCAACAATGAACCAATATACAGTCTAACAACCAAACTATTTCAAGACTAATTCAAAAATTTATTTGCCATTCTCCAAGATCATTAAAAGGCATACATTTCTTAAGCTTTAGGAACAATTCTTAAACTCTTCTTCATGAAGCCTAAGGACTGTCTTTTTATAAAAATAATTTTATTGGTACATTTTAGGTATACAATATACTGACATTCATCGTTGGAAATTTGCACCTTT